GGCCGTTGACACATAGCAGGGGGCCAGGTATATTATCAACAGGCCCACTTGCACCCCATGCCCCCACTTCACAAGGAGGGACTCTGCACCGTCTATCTGAGGCACAGTGGCCTCCCTTGGACACAGGCTCTCCCTTATAATGACCGCTACCCCCCCGCCCCTACCCCGGGTCCTCGGCCGATGGAATGCCTGGAAACCTTGAAATCTTGAAATCTTGGCTGTTCCCTCAGACTGAACAACTAGTGGGTTCTTTTGGATAAAGTAGCTTTTACTTCTTCTGGCCTTTTGATGTTTCCCATTTGTATTTTATCTCTAGTTTATTTGCACTTTTTATTCTATGCTACATAGAATCATTATAGAGTTTGGTAACTTCATATATTTTATAAAATCAGTCAATCAATATTTCATTTCAGCTTCAGGGAATTTTTTTTAAAGTTATGTCTACATATGTCATCATGGTTGAAATCTGGTCAACTAATGATGTACTGCTGATGGATTTTTGTTCATTTTTATTAGGAACAATAGCTAATCTGGGAAAGGATAGACTAAAGGAAGATTTCCATTGCTTTGAGTAGTAAAAGAAGTAGTGAGACAATCCTCATGTAAATAAAACAATCTATTTTAGTCATAGTATTAATAGATATTATGCCTATTGAGGCAATATGCATAGGTTAGGAAACAGTTATGCACTGATCTCTCTTTTTCTGTATGTATATACATATTCATATATTCACATTCCTTTTTCCTAGATACATAGATAGTGGTCACAAATGATTTAAATGTTAGATTAGGCCCAGATATTATCCTTTTATAAGATAGATACAACATTAAAACAGAGCCGCTTTCCTTGATCTAGTATTTGAAGGATAGTAAGTTAAATTGCTTAGGATTTTATTCAGCTTGGATGGCCAGATCCTTTAGCTACTGTAAGTATTTTGAATAACTTCATTGGAAACAAGGGCTGCACATAGAATTTACTTAATGCTGCCTGTCATCCCCAAACAGTCCATTCCATAGAACAGCACTGTTCCACATAAGGCTTGAGAATCCCATTGGAGAGAATGTTATAAAGAAGAATTTGTGAATCAAAAAAGACATTGACATTCTATTGAAAACCTTGTTTTAACTGCTGATTGAGGATTGCTAAAGTTAAGAACATACATTAGTAGTGGCTAACTTCAGACAGATAAATCTTCAGGCGATGATTTAATATCTCAGATAATAAAGGATACTTTAGATTAGTGAGCTTATGTTTTAGCTTTCTGTTTGTGTTCATAGATAAATTGTATACCAAAACGAATGAACTTAAAGTACCCAACTCTTAAAAAGGGAAAAGAGATGACCCAAGAAATTACAGACCATTATATTGCTTAATGTATTGGAAACTGAGGAATTGCTTAGGAGAACCTGGTGGGAAAAGCAACTGGCTTCATGAAGGGAGAGTTATCTGTCCACCAATAACTAGAGCTATGCTTTCCCCATGTTTCTATATACAAGTATATTGTTTATTGATTTCAAATTGGTATTTAGATCTGTTTATCATTTTACATTTCTGATTTTGTTACATACTTTTGTATATTTCATGATTTTAAAAGGAGTTCTCTTTTTGTTAAAATTGTTGGGTTGCTTTAAGCATGAATCTTATAAGATGAGAACAGTGAAAAGAGGATATTTGCTAACTTTAGAGGAAAAGACCCATGAAAAGGATCTAAAGATACACTGTAAAATGTTTTTGTTGCATGCTTTATTATTATTAAAACATGCTTTATTAATTCTCTTTATTTTTTAATACATATACATTATCATTTTTATTCCTGCTGTTGTTTATGACATCTTTAACAATTGTTTTCTTCCCCCCAGAGTTCTGTCCTGTTTCTACCTTACCAAAATTTGAAGGTTCTGCACCAATAATTTCTTTTCCATACCTTACACGTTATCCGCGTATTTTGTACCAGTGCAAAACAGGATATAAACCAATCAATGAAAAAGTAAGCGTCATGGTGTGTAATGATGGTACCTGGAAACCAAAGAAAGACTTTTGCAAAAGTATGTCTTTTTCTTACTGGGAAAATGTATTTGTTTTTGTTATGTTTAAAGAGTTACTGTAAGACTTAAAATATAAAAAAACCACCAGGGACCTCCTATTAGGTAGTGGTTGTAATGCTTTCTTTGAAATATGCTAAAGTTGCCAGTTCTGGCTGAAAAACCTGGAGGATTGCTAGAAAGATGGTAAAAGAGAAGCTCTGGCTCTATGCTGACCTCTAGTGGTTATTTGGATTTTTCACTCTGACACTTGGCCCTACATAAGCAATGCTGTAATGCAGTGATGGGGAACCTTTTAGAGATTGCCCAAACTGCAACCGAAAACCCATTTATTTATCACCGGGTGTCGGGTGGGCGTGACTGACCGGGTGGGCGTGGCTGCAGTGGGTGTGGCCACCTTGATGATGCTCGTGGATGTAATTTATACATACATTTCAAGATAAAATTATAGCTTTTGCTCTGTAAAGATCCATTGATAATTGGATTAAAGTACTCAATTGCTTCAATAATTTACGGTATTTGGAATTTGTGTATAGCAGGAAAGTATATTATTATAAAATTTGGTAGTGCATTTAGAATATAAAAGCCTTGGAAGTATTACATGAGTAACAGAGCACAGCACTCATGCAGACCTCTTTTTCTATCAGTGCATTCTCTGGCATTTAATAACAATCTTTGGCTTATCCTGAGGACACTAATGACAGTTTCGGTTGGTTCACAGTACTTAGGTGGAAAGTCACCACTTCCATTGGGGCCCTACAAAATATACATTTTTTGTTGATCTTAGAATTTTATGTACATATGCAGATACATTTTCTATTTATAGGTCTTAATAGGGAAGTAGTGAAAATTGTAACAATTAATAATTTCCCAGTATTGCCTATATACTATTTGTAGTCTGTCTTAATCTTTATCCATGATCATTTTGTATTTTTTTCTAAATTGTTTCTCCCCTCCTTCCACCAGAAATATATTGTGGACAGCCTCCAAATATTATTGATGGATTTCACAATGGAAATGCAACCACTTACCCTGTTGGAACAATAATAAATTACCGTTGCAGTAAAAATTTTTCCCTTATAGGGGCATCGTTTATGGTGTGCAGTGCTATTAGAAATCTTACAGGAGTGTGGAAGGAGAAGCCACCCATATGCAAAGGTTGGTTTTTTTTCCTCCTTCAGTTTAAAACATACGTGTTGTATGTTCCTTTTTTATTTTTTCAGTAACATTGAATAATTATTTTGCTTTATTCCTAAGCATATTTATATCTGGTTCTCTCAGTTTGTTTAATGGTAGCCTTCTCTTAATCATATAAATGTAGTTTTTGCTTATATATTTAATTGATCAATACCAATTGATTCAATTCAAAGTGGCATATAAAGGAATAACAGTTAAAAGTTTTTAATTTAAATTTGATTCAGAGTTTCAGGAAAAACGCTTGCCTTTTGGAGGAGAAATCATTGGAGATTTCTGTTGTACTGTATTTTTGGACTATGTTTAGGTAAAATACAGATTAAAAAATGTACAGAAACAGTAACATATATCTTACAGTTGTATTTATTTTCCTATCTTATTAGAGGTATTCTGCAAAGATCCAGTGGTGGAACATGGAATAAAGATAACTGAACTTGGGAAGCCATATATATATGGAAGCAATGTTACATTTCAATGCAAAATTGGATATTTTATGATTGGAAGTTCTTTGATTCGATGTGAAAAGAACAACATTTGGGTTCCCATAGCACCGTCATGTAAAAAGAGTAAGATTTTACATTTAAAAAAATATTGGATTGGAATTCCTTTTCTCATTTAGTAATAGAATAGAGTAGAATAGAGCTGGAAGGGACCTTGGAGGTCTTCTAGTCCAGCCCCCTGCTCAAGCAGGAGAACCTATACCATCTCAGACAAGTGACAGTCCGGTCTCTTCTTAAAAACCTCCAGTGATGGAGCGATCACAATTTCTGAAGGCAAACTGTTCCACTTGTTAATTTAAGTCTTCTCAGTAGTATAATAAACCACAATAAGTTGCAGAAATTAATAAAAAAATCCATTAACATTCAGCAATCAATATTTTTGCAAGCAGGTTGCAACGATATCTAATAAATGAGTGAAGCACTGATTAATAATGAGCCTCAGAAATATAGCAGATTACTTGCAGAAGTGCATGGCTAATATCTGGGCACTGCCAAAAGAAAAGCCACACTTTTTCTCCCCTTAGGGTAGTATAAGGACAAGAATTATAGTTTTAATCATGATTTCTAGAATGACAAGCACACTACATTATATCTTAGTACAATGCATGTTATATTATTTTAGCTTTCACTGAATAAATGAAATAGTTTCTTGTTAATATGGAAGAGAGGGAGGGAGCTGCCAGGCTGCCTTTATGAATTTTGTGCTGTATTTATGGATACTTGTGGAGTTTTTGTTTTTTGGAGTTTGGAACAGGCTGGGCTGGACAGGAGCAGACTCTGCAGAAGAGCTACTTTTATTGTTTTACTGCACTGGCCATTTCATGGCATTTTGCAGCATTTTTGCAATTGCGTTTTGCTAACCATGTTTGTTGTTTTGTTGTGGACCTGGCAGCATTTTTGTGGACTGGATTCCAGCTCCTCGTCTGTTTATCTGGAAGACCAGAGCAGTCTGGCATGCCAAGAAACCTCTGACCCATAGCATGGCAAGCAGCCTCAAGGCTATGGAGTCCTGGGGCTGCTTGCCACACTGCAAGGCAGGATATAGAGCAGCCAAAAGGGCAGAGATGGCGGGGAATAGGCAGGTGGGAGGAATTGAAGATGAGGAAGTCCCTTAGAAGAACTGAGGGTTGGGGCTGAGAGGGACCATACCTGGAATGACTTGGATTGGGATATCCTTGGGAAATTAAAAAAAAAATCCCAGAAGGCAATGATAAATTATTGTTAGTGTTGCAACAAATAAAAACAACCCACAAACAAATCAACCCTATTATAGATACCTCCCCAGGGTATGATTTGAAGGAGAATTTAAATTGAAATGAAATTCAATAAACCATTTTAGTCTGGTTGCCTAAGAATCTATTTATAGACATATCAGAGTGTAATTTGGTGTAAGATAGACACATCTCTAGCTTGAAATGGACCAGGTGTGTGACTTTGTGTGACATGAATATGAACCAATTAAGAGAAACTGAATTGTAACATACTGTCATAGCATTATCAGAATCTATATGGATGGTGTGTCTTCACAATTTTTCTATATAAAAATTATTTTTATTACAGTTTCTCCAGACATATGTGGTACTCCACTGATTCTCAATGGCAACATACAGCCTTTGCAACCTCAGTATGAAACTGGAAAAACAGTTGCCATAAGTTGCAACCAGAACTATTCTTTTATTGATGACACCACAATGATGACTATACAGTGTCAAGGCTATAATCTCTGGAATCCTCCCGCACAATTATGTTTCTGTAAGTATAAATTTAGGTGTGAAGTGTTCTCTTCTATTGCTTCTAATGCTATAATCTAGACAAATGTAGCTATAGAGGAGCAATATGTTTTAAATATTATCAATTTCCATAAAGTGAATAGGAATGGTCTATTAAGTGCTTATTCACTTCCTTATATCTTTTTATAAGAATGAGCTTCTAAATAATATATTGAGTCTTGACTGGAAATCATAATAAACGTTTTGCAGCAGACTAAAAATGAACATGATACAGTGGTATCTTGCTACTCATCCTTAATTTGTTCCAGGAGGCATGATGATGATTACCAAACATGATGAGTACAAAACATTTTTTCCAATAAGGAATAATGTAGTGAGTCACATGGTAGCTGACACAGACAGGTTCTAGCTTGTGCATTGTGCACCAAACAAATTATGAGTATTAGGACAAAATTTTCACATCAAAATGTGTTGAGTACCAAATTTGATTTTTGTCTCTTTTCTTTCTTTTCTTGTTGTAAATATTAGTTCTTTTTAGTTTTTATCTTTCTTTTATTAAAGTTTGATAGAATATTTTTTTAAAAAGATACTTTCAGTCCAGTTATATTTTCCTACTTTATTATAATAATGACATGTTTTAAGACTGGAGTTTCCAGGAGAGTCAGAATATTGCACCTTATGTTTTTGTTGACAGTTTCTGAATGTTGTAATGTATTGCTTGATGAATTTAAATGCATGTTTAGTTTACTGAAAAAGATCAGGAACAATGCAGATAAATCATTATAAGGAAGTAATTTTTTAACTTCCACAATAGTCATCTTGTCACTTTAGCAAGGTAACTTTAGAAAAGGATGTTTGCCCCTGGTATGTGCACCCCACCTTTCTCCATCCATCCATCCAACCATTGTACTCTCTCCCCATTTTTGACTATCTTCTCAGATATTGCAAACAAAAGAAAACTTGTAACTATAACAGTTGTAAGCCCAAGTATTAAGGATTAGGGAAAATAATAGAGTAGAATGGAATTCTTTATTGGCCAAATGTGATTGGACACACACAAGAAATTTGTCTCCGGTACATAAGCTTTCAATGTACAAGTGCTAAATCATGATCATAATCATAAAATACAATCATCGTAAATCATGACAACACTCAGTGATAATCATAGAACAATAAATAAGCAATCAACATAAATCATAATAGAATACTAAATAAAAGCAATCAGCATAAATCAACAAAGTTATAGTCATAAGAATCTAAGGAAATAGGTAATAAAACAGATGAGAAGGATAATAATTAATACAGTCCTACTAGCTGCTTTGACATCCCAGGGCATAGACAGTGTTGTGGGGATTAGTTGTTTAACAGAGTTGATAGCATGGGGGAAAAACTGTCTTTGTGTCTGGTTGTTTTAGCATGCAGTGCCCTATAGCACTGTCTTGAGGAAAGAAATTGAAACAGTTTATATCCAGGATGCGAGGATGCTTTTTTTTTTTTTTTTTTTGCTTATAATACATATTTGTATTTTTAGTTAGAACTTCACCAGATATTTTTCACCTTTTCATCAATCATGGAAAAATAGTCCTTGGGAAGAAAAAATATTACAACCCTGGAGATGAGGTGGTTATTGCATGCCAAGCTGGCTATATATTGATAGGGCCATCTAGGATTAAATATATTGGTGGGAAGAAATGGTTTCCTAGTGTCCCAAATTGTCATCTGAGTAAGTATTAATGAAAATATATACCTATACTAAGTAAACATTGTTTTAACTGCCTAGAAATTATTTGTCTTGCTGTTCTGTTTTTACAATATAGCATGAATTTGAAGATTGTAGATAGAAGACAGTAAATAGCACCAAAGAATATGTTCCCAGTTTACCTCTCTATTCCCTTTGTTTCTTTTTTGTGAAAAGAAATCAGTTTTTGCTTTGTTGTGGCAAGGTAAAATAGAGATTGTAAATTCTGGTCAGCTCTTTTTAAACTGTATATTTTCTACCAGCTCCTATAGTGTGTAAATAACATTTTAGTATTGCTGTGCTGAAAACCTGTTGATGGTATTATGATCCGTTTGTCACACAGCCAGATGTTCAGACTGGATTTGGCATTTTTATCCACCTATCAAGTACTTCCCAAGGACCTTGGATAAGCAGATATTGATGTTATACTGTTAGAGTTATCCCAAAGTATGCAAGTTATTCCCAGTAGAGCTGTCTTTTGCAATTAACTGATGGTGAATTTGTCTATGCTTATCATGTTTAATTAGTGCTCCAGTTGTTTTGGGACTGCATCAAAGGAGTCTACTATGATTGGTGCTACCTTTGCTTTCTTTTGCCACAGTTGTTTTGTTTCTATTTTCAGATCTTTATCTGTTGTTATCTTCTCCAATTCTTTCTCTTCTGTTATCTCCAGATGCTACCATGTCCACTATCTAGACTTTTTTGTCTTTCTTATTGACAATTGTTACATTTGGCGTATTATGAAGCAGGTGCCTGTCTGTTTGAATTCTAAAGTCCCAGAGCACTTTAGTTTTTTTTACATTCTATTATTTTATCTATTTTATGGTCCCACTAGTTCTTGCTTGTGGGCAAATGGTATTTCTTGCAGATCTTCGAAAGCAGCACTATTGTTGCTACTTTGTCATACTGTTGTTTGTAATTTTCTTGCAGCAGCTAACCAGGTGACCTATTTTTTCAGCTTCTTTGCAGAGGCAGCACTTGCTATCTGTTGCTATATTTTCAATTATGGCTTTATATGCTTTTGTTCTTAGGGCTTGGTCTTGTGCAGCCAGAATTGGTCTTTTTGCCTATTTCTTCAACATTCCTGATCATAGCTATTGCCAGGTCTTGATATTATCTGTTTTCCTTGCAATTTTTTTAAAATGTACTGGCCATGTAATGCTTTGTCTTCCCATGCCTCTTCATTTGATCTTTCTTGCAGGGCAATTTGGTCTCTCCAGTGTTCAGTAGGCCTTCTTAGTATACTAGCTTCAAAGAATTTTCTTTACTGTCCTTCAGATATTCTTCCAATGCCTTATTTTCTTCTTCAAGTGTCTCATATACTTGCAACATTCTGCACCCATCCATTTTCCTTGGTGAGTTTATTAACATTGTTCTGAGGATGAAGGGCATGATTCATTGTCATTATTTTTCTAGTCTTCTTATACAGAGCTTTTAGTTCTGCTTGAATCCAGTCCACTATTCCAACTGTGTATCTGATGACTGGAATTGCCCAGGTGTTAATTGCCTTGATGGTATTTCCTCCTAACTGTACTGCAACTGTGCTATACATTAGTGGGATTGTTTTGTTACTTGCAGCAATACTTCACTCACTTGATGTATTCAATTCTAATCTTTTTCTTGACTTCAGTGTGGCTGGTGCTGTCAATCTGAAGGATGCCCAGGTATTGTAGTGATCATTTTCATCCAGATTTTTGAAGTTATTTTTATGGGGCATCTTGATTCCTTCAGTTTTTACCATTTTTCCATTTGATAATAAGCATGGCACATTTGTCCAGTCCAAACTCCATTGTAATATCTTGACTATATATATGGACAGTATTGAGCAGCGATTCAAATAGTGTTTTTCCATACAGCTTTAGATCAATGTAAAGGAGGTGGATAATCTGTCAGAAGTCTTGGTGTTTGATAGCCATGGCCTAAGTTGTCAGTATGTTGACAGAGGAATTGACAAACAGTGGTGAAAGTGAGTCTTCTTAAAAGATCCCTCTCTTGATGTCAATCTATTACCATTGCTTAGCATCCATGTCTTCCATCGTGCCCTTGATCTTTGCACATGTTTCTGATGTTTCTACTGACTCCTGTTATTTCTAGGTATTTGATTATCCAATCATGTGGCAGGGAGATGAATGCCTTCTTGTAATCAATCTATGCTATATTCATATTGTTCTTTCTTCCCTTGCAGTTTTCTAGAATCATCTTGTCAATTAGGAGTGGATCTTTTGTTCCTGTTTGAGCAATTTTTTTCTGCTCAGATGGAAAGAGCTTGTTTTCAATTGGATGCTGTTAGATAGCATCAGCTACCACACCAGTCAGCAATTTGACAGTTGTTGGTTATTAGGGAATTGGCCTGTAGTTGCCTGATGCTGCCTCTTTTGCTGGATCTTTCATTATCAGGTAGGTTTGCCAGATATTAGCTACTCTTCCATTTCACCTCCTTGCAGTATGTTGTTACTGTAAACTGCTTGGCAATCAGTACCTGTAAACTGATCAGATGTTTCCACCAAAATCTATGAAATTCATCTTCACTTGCTGCTGACCAATTCTTGATCTTCCTTGCCCTTTTCTCCATCATTTCTGCTGTTATTACAAGTTCTTTCATTTTATCTTCTTTTTTATTCTTATCTACCTCCTTTAACCAAGCTGCATTCTTGTTATATTTCTTATAGCTTTACCCAAAACTGCCATTTCTTCCTTGTCAGGTGCTGATTGATTCACTGCAACCTCTCCATTGATAGATTGGTAGAAATGTTTCTACTTGAATTGAAATTGGAGATTCTGTCTATAATTAGCTTTGTATCTGCTAATCTTCTTGACTATAACTGTTATTTGCTACTTTATTATTTCCACTGCTTCCTTGATCTTCCTTGTTTTTAAGTGGTATTTCTTGATTATAGATATTCTTTGGTCTTCTTTTTCTTAAGTTTCTTTTCATTCATCTGTTCTAATTTAGTTGAATCTTACCTCAGTTTGCTAATCATATTTTGCAGCCTGATCTTCCATTTTGGTTGTGTATTGTTTGGCATTTTTCTTTGTTGATTTTGCATCCCAGATATTCAGTTATAACTGCAATTGTGCTGTACATTAGTTGGAATATTATTTGTAATGAGCTAGTGCTTAAATTTGATATTGCACTATTTGACATCTTTTAATGCTTGTGCTAGCTATTTCTTTGGAAAAAGCTTCAACGCAAGCAACCTTATTCTGTTGTTTTGTGCTGTTCTAGATGCTCAGTGATTTTTTATTTCAATTCTTCTACTTCTTTAGTTAGAGGGCTTTGTTCTATCTGAGGTAGAGAAAAGGGTGTCTGGTTTCCAAATGAGAACAATTCTATAGCTGTGCTGGCTTCCTCTACTGCCAACTCACCATGGTTT